GGGGGGGGGCACACGTGTGGGGTCAAGTTATGGTGTATTTCCTATGAAATATGAGAAAACAGTAGATGATGAAACCATCATAGTCAACCCAAAAGACCAGCGGTCAGCTTTGGTGGATAAAACCCTTCAGAGATAACAATGGAGATCAATAAATACAGTAAAACTGCCCATTGCTTTGCACATCTGGCCGCACTCAGTGCCTCATGAACCTGTAGGGTCACCACTGCCACTGAGTGTATGTCAGAGGAGGAGATGCAGGAAGGAGGTTGGTGGGCACATCAGCGAGGAGACATATTTTCTAAGCCATCCATTGGACTTTACCCACCACAAGCAGACGGCCAGCATTGCCTGGAGCTTCCCATAGACATCACTCAATGTGGGTTATCTCACGTCTATGGCAACCTTTAGACTGACCGAGAGGTCTTACATATGAGAGATGCTCCATGTCTGGAGGTGTACAAAGTCTTACATATGACAGATGCTCCGTGTCTTGAGATGCACAACACCTTTTTATATGATAGATGCTCCATTTCTAGAGAAGCACAAAGTCTTACTTATGAGAGATGCTCCTTGTCTGGAGGTGTACAAAGTCTTACTTATGAGAGATGCTCCTTGTCTGGAGGTGTACAAAGTCTTACATATGAGGGATGCTCCTTGTCTGGAGGTGTACAAAGTCTTACATATGACAGATGCTCCGTGTCTTGAGATGCACAACACCTTTTTATATGATAGATGCTCCATTTCTAGAGAAGCACAAAGTCTTACATATGAGGGATGCTCCATGTCTGCAGATGCACAAAGTCTTACATATGAGAGATGCTCCATGTCTGGAGGTGTACAAAGTCTTACATATGAGAGATGCTCCATGTCTGGAGGTGCACAAAGTCTTATTATATCTTCTGCTGTCTTTTTCCCCCAGAAATCATGAAAAATGGAGGGATTTGTGGCATTCCAACTGACACTGTCTATGTCCTGGTAGCAGCTTGTAATCAGCCGGAAGCAGTGGAACGAGCATACAAGTACGTCACCCATAGCAGAGTAATGACAATGTAATGATGTCTCACCACCAACTCTCAACCTGCACTATGTAGTGCTAAAGACATCCATTGGGGTGCATGTTGTGGGGTCACCCAGGAGACCGGACAATGTTTACTTTTAGACTTTTAGTTCTGCTCATATAGAAGGAATTCATCGTTGAGATTTATTGCACAATAACCTCCCCTGATCATTTCTGTTCTTCTTCCCGGCAGGACAAAACGCCAGGCTCAGGACCGGCCCATGTCCTTGTGGATCTCCAGCCTGGAGCAGTTAAAACCCGCCAAGCATTTGTTCAGTCCTTTGTTATGGGACTTCATGGAGGCCGCTTGGCCCTCATCCATCAGCCTGGTGATCCCAAGAGGTGAGGTCCCTCGACATCTCAGCCCAGAATAAACCTTTGGCCACACTCTTGTGGCTCCACTTCTCCTCATGTCTCTGAATTTGTATGAAGTGATCTAGTCTTGTCTATGATGACGATAAATATCCTCCTCTGCATGAGATTCACTATAGAAATGTTCATTTACATGTAATGACATGTTTCCCCTCCAGGGCCGTGGTTGGATGTCCTGGGTGCTAAGGACTCTTCAACATACATCGGGACCCCTCAGAGCATCGCCATCAGAATCCCGGACTGCTCAGTCACTACGCACTTAATTGACATGGTAGGAAAAATTTAGTTATCGTTGGGAAATTTGAGAACATTTAAGAATTTTTCTGGATTCGTGAAATATTTTGATAGTTTTTTTATGTAATTGTGAATTTCTTTATACTATTTTTATGCAGAAGACGTAGAAAGCAAAGAAAGGATCATTTCTGTTATCTTATAATACTACATACTAGGGAATCACATGGAGGAACTGACAATGCTTTATGTTCTAGGTTGGCCCAATTGCAGTGACTTCAGCCAATCCGTCGGGTGAAGCGGACACGACGCACCACAACCAAGTCTACGCCAAGTTAGGGGAAAAGGTGAGCTGTAGATCCGTGCGTTCCTCTATACACGTACAATGGACAGACGGACGATAACCACATTTGTGATTTCAGGTGGATGGAGTCTTGTGTGATGGAGCGTCCCCTGAGAACATTGCGTCCACTGTGGTCAACTGCACGAAACTGGAATCTGGGGACATCGCATTCTTCAGAGTCGGCATCGTCCCCAAGTCTCAGGTACAACTACCATTTCACAACGCACAGATCAGCTCTTCACTTCCACTCATCTTATATCACGATCTCCAATGTAAAGATAGATCTGTATGTACAGCAGTGATGGAGGACCAGATCACGGGCCTGTCTATACCTCATGGGCCTGTCTATACCTCATGGGCCTGTCTATACCTCATGGGCCTGTCTATACCTCACGGGCCTGTGTATACCTCACGGGCCTGTCTATACCTCACGGGCCTGTCTATACCTCACGGGCCTGTCTATACCTCACGGGCCTGTCTATACCTCACTGGCCTCTCTATACCTCACGGGCCGGTCTATACCTCACGGGCCTGTCTATACCTCACGGGCCTCTCTATACCTCACGGGCCTCTCTATACCTCACGGGCCTCTCTATACCTCACGGGCCGGTCTATACCTCACGGGCCTGTTTATACCTCACGGGCCTGTCTAGCTCTGCTGTCAATCATTGTGAGAAGTGATAATCCTGACAATACAATAAATGTATCTTTCACCCAATGGGTCATGTGACATTGATAGCGGTGACGTCCGTGTGGGGTGGGCCTATAAATATACAAGGGGGAGGAGTGTCACGGACTGTACAATACGAAGCTTTATGTAGTATACAGAACATGGAGCTCCTCTACGTCTTCTGTAATACTCACCTCCGGTCTTCTGCTTGGTTGTGATGGTTCCATCGTTTGTTTTCTCCTTTCCTCTCATATCCTTCGCTGGGATGGTGTTTGCTGTGAGTGTGAAGATGGAGTGTTACAATGTAATCAGCATAGAATATCTCCTTCTCAGGGCAGATACATCTTATGTTGGTGTCCTTCTTCTAGAAAGACCTTCTCCTCATAGATATTGGGGATAGTCTGACCCCCCGGAACTATATGTCAATGGTCTCCATGCAGTCCATAAGAAGCTTGTTTTATAGTTAGGATGAAAAAGGACAAATGTCAATCACGTCCACAAGACAAAGATCAATGAAAACACTTCAGTCCTGAGAACTCTAAACCTTATAAACCCGTATAAAGCATTGTCCAATCATCTCTAAGAGCATCCTCGCCCCCTAAGGCAATCACATCTACAGAGCTCTCCAATGAATAGTAACAACCAGTCATAGTTTGTGCATTTCCAAACGCATCCCCAACCGTGTGACGGCATCTAAAGAGCTGACTGGACTTGGCCCCTTTGGATGTCCATGGCACAGCTCTACCTGTAAAGAAGCCTTTCCATATGTGGAGTTCTGACCAGGGCCAGTGCTAGGATCCCTGATCAAGTACTTGTCAAAATGCCCCGATGTTTGCGCTATGGTTTTTTTTCTTCACTTACCTTCGGCGCGTGAGAGCAGTGGCGACTCAGCGCTGGTCCGGTGGGAGGAGCTCCAGGTGGGGTCCTAATTTAGCTGGCCGGCGACTGCCAGAGGTGCCACGCGTGTCGGGATCCTCAGGCAGTACTCAAGTACTTGTCAAAATGCCCTGTTTTTTCCGCCCTCACCCTGCAGCGCCCTCAGGCGGCCGCCTGATTTGCCTTGCGCTAGCGCCGGGCCTGGGTCTGACCTCATTTCCTCCAGACAGTATAACGTTCATCTATAAAGAGAGGGTGAATCTGCCCGGAAGGATCCAGACAACAATAGAAACAGGGGATATCCTTCTGACTCCACCCACATCTACAATAAAGCCGCGTCTATAGATTGAAGGCTCTGAAGGTGGAAATCTTCCTTGTTGGGGGTTTTAGGAAACTTTCTGAATTTCTCTGATAATAATTCTGTTCTATATTTAGGTTCTGCAGATATTGAGCCGAGTCCAGGAGAACCACAAGAAGGGTCATGTCAACGGCGGCTTCAGTCATTCACAAGAAGATCTCACAGGACGGTCAATGGAGCCCAACGGGAACCCAGGACAGGAGACGGGCCGCCCAGGCGGCGGATCGCAGTCACATGATAATAACGGCTTTATCATGGAGGAAAAATGATCATTATTTGTATTCATAGAAAAGGGAATTGTATTGTTTATTGATTTGTAAATATCTTCTATATATTTATATCATTTTTATTAAGGCTAATAAACTATTTTTTTTTACATTTCTGTGTCCTCCATTCTAGTTTGTCCCATACGGTATATATATATATAAGCATGATAAGATGTCTCCCTTTATAAAAGCCCAAACGCAGCCAAGTTCTGGATGGAGAAATGAAATGGAGAGAACGGTCAGAATGTTATTGTTCAGCTATAGAAGGAGCAGTAGGAGAGTCACCCGGATGGTCAGAGAGTCCCAAACGCTAAGGGTGACTCTCTGTTAGTTATTCTTGTTGTAGAGTTCCAGCTGTGGAGCTTCTCTGGACTCCGTGATTAACAATCAGGACAGAAACAGAGCTAATATGAATGGAAATCCTCCGACATAGTACAACATCAGGATACAATGTGGCCTGACAGCGGTGTATCCACTAGGGGGGTCCCCAGCAGGAGGAAGGAGGTCCTGATCCCTCTATATAGATCTATCACTAGAGGGACCCCCAGCAGGAGGAAGGAGGTCCTGATCCCTCTATATAGATCTATCACTAGAGGGGTCCGCAGCAGGAGGAAGGAGGTCCTGATCCCTCTATATAGATCTATCACTAGAGGGGTCCCCAGCAGGGGGAAGGAGGTCCTGATCCCTCTATATAGATCTATCACTAGGGGGGTCCCCAGCAGGGGGAAGGAGGTCCTGATCCCTCTATATAGATCTATCACTAGAGGGGTCCCCAGCAGGAGGAAGGAGGTCCTGATCCCTCTATATAGATCACTAGAGGGGTCCCCAGCAGGGGGAAGGAGGTCCTGATCCCTCTATATAGGTGGTTGGGCTCGTGGCTTCCCTGTGGCATGCTGCGGCGTGGTTCTGGGAGTAATGGGAGGAGCTTGGAGCGGTTCCCGGGAAGGATACATTGTATGACAGAAAAGGAAATATACTTTGTAACAGTTTCGGCTCTTCCGGTTTTTCCTCTGCGATGGTTTCAGGTTGTTGGGAAAGTTTTTATTTGAGTAATAAAAGGAAATTTCATCTATTTCTCGTCTTTCCTGCCGATGGACATAAAGCGTCAGAACGACGTCCGGTAATCAGCCGACCCGGAATGTTCTGATTCTACATTTATATACATCGAGCTTTGTGTGAGATAGACGACGGACCAATGAGACGCCGCGCACCTCTGCAGACAAATCCGTAACAATGGGTCAGAATCAATGAGAATCGGTAACA